AGCACCCCCCCATCTCTACCCCCCCAGGAGCGCCATACATGGTTAAAACAGTCACAATTTCCTTAACTCCAAGTCAGTTTAGAATCAAAAGTTAGATATCAATACACCACCAGACACTGTAATGAACCTTATTATACAAAGATGCCAACTTAATCAGACTTTAAATAGCTGACTCTGGTGTACTAAAATATCTCCAATAAACCAGGAAATTAACATTGCATTTTACATTTATCTATAAGTCCCCAAAAGGCTGCTGGTGATGCAATCAGATCAATCTGTAAAGCACTGGTCATCTTTCTCTGAGTAAAAACCAAGAGATAAATCACTAACTCTGTCTATTTAACATGAAATTCCCACAATCCTTGGTACATGTGCCTTGTTTCCCCCTTTGTCTCATCCCCCACCTACATGTCCCTGAGACATTTTTATGCCCCTGATATTTTACAAACACACATACAGCCTCAAGCCCTTAACTCATGGGATTTAGACCCATGTTCTCCATCACGCACAGGTTATAAAACACCTGACTAGTGCAGTGAGGCTCCAACTCACTCTCAAGACTCAAAGTTCATGCTCTCAGTCATCTGCCCTGCCCAGGTGAAGGTGCATGACCCCAAAGTGACTAGTGGAGAGATCATGAACTAGTTCAAGAGATCATATTCACTAGTGTTAGCTATCTAGATATCTACCCCTCCAAGCCCTCCCTCACACCCCCCGCTCTGGCTCTGCTATCCCCTCCTTCAAAGCCCTCCCCGGGCATCTGTCCTGACCCCTTTCTACTGTCTTCCCTAGCACCTCGACCTCTGTTCCCTCAGGATCTTCCCTTGCTCCCCCAGTATTGTTCCCTGGAAGTTGTGCACTTGAGTGGCCACTAGGGAGAGATTAAAATGCCACCCAATTGATTAGCAGAGCACCTGTAGCCAGGTCTTGTGTTCCAAATGATGGAGCACATACGAATTTATTCCACACATGGATGGAAACGATTAGAGGAAACACTGACCCTCCCCCCCCCACAGTTCCCATTCCTCCAGGATCTCCCCTATCATCTCCACCAGGGCCCCCCAGGATCATACCTAGCCGCCTTCCCTGTGTCTGCCCTCCCTTGCACCCCCCATCGCTGCCTCCCCCAGGAGTTTCCCTAGCAGCCCCCCATCGCTGCCCCCCCAGGAGTTTCCCTAGCAGCCCCCCATCTCTGCCCCC